ACAGAATCTTTGCTACATCTAATCTTTACAGAAGCATTCAGATGATAGTTACTACACAGTTGTATACATAATTCCCATGATTGCACCACATATTTCATAACTTCAATAATATCAGTCATTGGTTTGGCATTCAGACCCTCGAGGCGTTATTGGTTTATTTTAAACAGGACGTCACATATTGAGTTATGGATTAAGAAACCCAGGACAATGGTTTCTTAATGACATCATTGGGAGAGTTCTGAGGCAAAAACCAAAAACTCGAAAAAGCAGTGAAGCCAAACGTTTGTTTGACCTCGAGACTTCCAGTCCATCCTCGGCACAGATGTTACTGTACACTACGCTGTCCACTTGGTAACGGCGTTCCATGTATGCCCTGCTTGCTGGCATCTTGCACCCTTGCTGGATTGTCTCAAGGGCAGCCTGCACATGGGGTCTTGTCTCATGTGATAGACCCTGCCCTCTATGGATTTGTACTTTGAGCTAGTTCCTGTGCTGCTATGATTAGTGCCTCTTTGCAGGTATTTGGTGGTTGCCGCTTTCCTAGCAACCTCTTCATGGTTTCCCAGGTACTTGTAGTTGTCCTCGAGGTGGACAATGTTGCCTTCCGGTAGTACGATCCTCTCAGTTCTGACTACCTTCCCTCTCTTTGGTACCATCCGACTACACTTCTGCAGTCCCAATGACGTTCCAATGTGACTGCTGTATATCCTGGTGGTTTGGATCAGTGAATCAATGTCTCATTCAATCTTGGCATACAGCTTGATGTCATTCGTGTAGAGGAGGTGGCTGATGATTGCTCCATTCTGTAGTCGGTATCCACAGCCAGTCTCCTCAATGATCTCACTGGCCTTCTGTCAGCCATTTTGGGTGTTTCTCATCCATTAGCTGCTGGGTCATTTGTGCTGCCAGACACTCGACGAGTGCAGTCAGCCAATCACGTCGAGGCCTGCTGCTGTCCAACTCTTCATACTGGAGACGTGTTCGTGGATTTCTGCCACAGTGATTCTTACTGGAACTTGTTCAGGGAGTCCCACAAAATTGATTTTGTTCATCTGGACGTAGACCATTGATCAACAACCACTGATCAATGACCATGAGTCCCATTCACACAGTTGGGGAATGGCTGCAATCACAGCATTGTAAGATGGTGACAGATGTACCCTTAGGCCCCTCCTCCATTCAGAGATGGTCTTTCCCTTTTCACGTAAATGGCCTCCTTGACTCCGCCCTCAAACCAGCGTTCCTCCCTGTCCAGGATGTTACATCCTCATCTTTGAAAGAGTGTCCACTGGCCTGAAGGTGTAAATAGACTCCTGACACGTACGGATCACTACAGGTTTTCACTTGGGCAGTGGTTGTCCTTCTCTCCTGGATCGGCTGGAGCTTTCTTTAGGAGCCTTCCCAGCTTTGACAAAAGTCCAGCTGGGATAACCACATTTACTCAGGGCCTTCTTGATGTTCTTCTGCCTCCCTGGCTGCTGTGTCTGTGGGGATGGTGTTTGCTCTGTGTTGTAGCGTCCTGATGACGCCCAGTTTGTGCTCCAGTGGATGATGAGAGTCAAACTTTAAATACTGATCCGTATTCATAGGTTTACGGTACACATTTATGTGAAAAGGGAAAGATCTGAATCGAGGAGGGGCCTAAGGGTCCATCTGTCACCATCTTACAGTGCTGTGATTGCAGCCAACTCCCAACTCTCTGTGAATGGTACTCATGGACATGATAAGTGGTTGTTGATGAATAGTCATGACAATTTGCATATTAATGATCAAGGAACTGACCTCCCAGCCCATTGTTCCTTCAGTGGGCTGGTTTCAGTCATTATGCAAATGTCCTGTTTATAAGTTTGAAACCTGCAGTCAGCTGAGACTGAAGAAGTCATCTGGATGATGATGAAACATTTCTTCCAACTTACCTTGATGATGATGAGCATGCATCAAGACATTTTAACCCACTTTGGCAAGAACTCCCTAAAGCTAGTTCGTCAGTGTGAGCAAACAGCGTGTAAGAAGGCTGATTACAGGAACCAGCTGAGATTCAGCCTCAGATGCAAACAATACGATTACTCCTAAAAGTCTGCAAATGAGCTCTTCAGTTTAGGGCCTCCAGGCAACTAAAATCCTCCAGAACGCACTGCTGAGACAAAGACATTTTAACATTGACATGCTAAAATCCAAAGAGGAGCAGATCCGATCAATACTCATCAAAAGATCTTTGAATTCACTGATAAGGCTCATCTGGCCCAGCAAAAAAAATTGTAACCCAGGCAACAAAGGAAGTTTGACTTGTAGTGTGTCAGAAACCACAGAACAATACAGAGTTTCCTCTCAGCCACAGAGAGAAGGATGCCACACAGAGGACAAGGGGGTGACGGATTTCTCGTACAGGTAACCCAAGCAGAGAAAAGCAACCTTGCAAAAGGGTTGAACTTTGCCGTGACACTGAGATAAATCTCACTACACAGAATTGGAGATTATGTATTAGAATTTCAGGAGCTCCTTTTGGTTGTCATCTATATAGGATCCCCCAGTTCTGCAAGCTGTTCATTCTCGTTTACGTGCAAACAAGGTCAATTCTCGCTGAATGCCTTTAAACACAGCTTATCTTTCAGGAGTAATTTTACTCACCCTTCCATTCGCTACAATCGTCCTCTCGTCTGTCAGCGTGTCAGATGAGCAACTACTAAGGCTCTGCATCCATCGCTTTTCCTCCAGCAATCCCAGAAACACACCGAATGTCACGGCGGCGCTTCCAAAAAACCGAATGCTGACCACCTCCTAGCAATTTTCTCGCCACCCGACATACGGTCTGCTAATCCATCAAGCCAGTCATCTCATCTCCGCTAAATCCAGTCATGAAGTACCTCCAGCTGCCCGCCACTTAAGCGAAAACTAGCAAGGTCGCCCGCCAGCAGAACTCACAGCTCCTCTCACGTTGCTCCACGAAAAAGTCGACGGACGTCAACGCCGAACCCAAGCTTCCAAACAAATTGCAGCTCCAACCGCAAAAGCTAGAGCATACTTCGAAGCTCCACCCACCCGTCAGCGCCAGGTAGCAGGGGGAAGATCAGCTCTGTTCTGCTTCCTACTAACACCATTTCATGCAAGCTGGAAATCTGTCGCTAGCTCCATACTCTCTACTGTTCCCCATCGTCGTGATGTTTCCATCCCTCCTTTCGCTAAATGCTTAAGCAAATTGGCAACTAGATCCCCGGTTCTTCCCTATCTGCCATTCGCAAACGCAGCAGCAAGCTTCCTACCACCGTACTGCCAGTTTCTCAGCAAAGATGACACACACACACAAAAAAAGGGCACCAAGTCGCCATTTCTCCATCCCTCAGTGACAATATGCAGTATGCTTCGGCACCGAGTTGCCAGGTTCTCGGCCACTCATCCCTCCTCTGCTAAGTGCTTGCTCATAGGGGGTCATATGGTTGTTGGGTTTACCTCTAGACATCATTGCAGCGTCTCGAGGTGTCTGTCACTGTGGCTCGGTGCTGTATAAATAAGTCGAATCGAAAGTCAAATTTTTCTGACGTCTTCGTCCTTCGTATCGCTCAGTTATTGCTGCTTCTGTGAGATGCCTTCTTTGGGGATCTGCCAGTCCCCTTCGAGGCCTTCCCCAAACTGCAGCTCAATTCATGTCCAAGCATTCACCTTTACCTATTACAATGCAGTCAAACCTAAAATGAGGATGTGGGCCGAGCTAGTGAAACAGCAATTCGAAACAACAACATTGTAGACGTGGAAGCAGAGCAATTATGGACGAAAGT